ATCCTGCTGAGGTACCAAGTGTCTTCTGCAGGTTCCAATAGACTACTATATCCTCCATGCACACCTGGAAATGCTGTCCACTGCTTGGTCTGAACTTCTGAGGAGGCCCAGCTTTGACATATCTACTCCGTGGTCAGATCATGGGACCTGCACTTGTCTTCATGATTGGGGTTCTGAGATCAGCAGTTCAGTTGGAGGGATCCCCACAGAAATTTCGTCTGAAGTGATCCCAGACCTGATTCTTGTGTCTGCATGCCAGTACTGGGTCCAGCAAAGTCTATCACCCCAATCAATTGTGCACATGCTGATGGTTGCAATTGTGCTGGGTCAGTTCTTTTTCCATCCCTTCCACATGAATCAGTGGGTATTGCAGTCCAGCCTGATTCTGCCCACCACACACTCGGCCCTCACACAAACTATTGGGAGCTGCAGCCTAGTCAAGGCGACTCCCAATAACCCCTGCCAGGCCACCTCCTGCCCTGATTCCCGTGCTTGCCAGTATGCATGGTACACTGGTCCAGTTTGTCCCACATCCTATTCAATTCTCCTACATGTCCGTGGGCATTGAAGCCTACTTCAACCCAACCAGCTCCACTCTCCGGCCCGCACACATGCTGGCGGGTGCCATTCTGTCTAGCCACCCCTGTCCCAGTCCTGGTTTTCCTGCTCTCCTGTGGGAGTGGTGACCCAAGAGGGAGGTGCCCACTATTTCCCTACTGGGACACTCCCACTCGCGGATCATGTGCTTTCCAGGTGGTACTGCAGTTTAGCTTGACAGAAGTAGCCCCTTGTGCCAGCATCTGCCAGCTGATACTCCAGCAAACCCAGCCAACCCTCATCCACTCTGATTTATGCTTGCACCAGTAGGAGCCCTCAATCCAGCCTGGCTCTTCCCTGATATAGCTCACATGAGGCCCACAGGTGTTGTAGCTCTGCCTGGTCTGGTCTACCCCCATCCCAACTCACGCTCTCCAATGGGAGTAGTGTTCCAGCAGGGGAGCTCTCCACATTTCCCCAACCTGTTTTATCCTTGCCCCCCTGGGTCTGGCATGAGCTGGTTGGGCACCGTGTGTTGGTTGGGCACCGTGTGCTAGTCTGACATGGCGTGCCTCACCTCAGCTTTTGCCAGTGGGTATTGTAGCCTGGCACTACCCAGCCCACCCCCAATTCTAGTCAGGTTAGTGGGGGCTAAAGCCTAACCCAGCCCAGCCGGCACCCAGTCCAAGACATAATGTACATGGTGTGCGTTGCAACCGGAACTGACCCGACCCACACTCCATTTCTGGTGCTTGGATTTGCCCTGCCTGGTTTGTCCCCGACCTGCGCCAATCTATGCCGCTGGGTGCTGTTCCCTGCCCTGGTCTGGGCTGCACCCTGTCGTAGTTCTTGCGCTCACCTGTATGCACTGTGTCTTGACAGAGGAGTTTCCTTGGCTCCTCCATCAGAACCTCTCCCATTGCCAGATCTCGCACACATGGGTGGGTCCATGGACCAGCCCTACTCAGTCCACATCCTGATCTAGCAGGAACAGTGGCCTTTCCTGATCAGCCTTCAACCCATTCCCATTATTATTGTTGGATTGCAGCACAGTCTAGCCTGGTCCATACGCAGACACAGCTCATACCCGCCTCATCAGGAACAAAAAAAATAGCCTGGCCCATCCTACACCTACCCTGGTCCTCACAAGCACCAGTGTTTGCTGGGGTCTAGCCCAGTCTGGTACACCCAGCCCCAGCCTACACGTGTGCCAAGGTATGCTGTAGCCTTATCTAGACCAGAACATGGCTCCCATTCTAGCCCTGTGCTGACCAGTGGGAACCACAACCCAGCCAGGGTGTCCCCTTAGTTCCCCACTAGGTCTATTCCCAGCTATAGATTTTGCACATGGTTGTGGTTGCTCTGACCCAGCTTGGCCTAATCGCTCACCTGTCATGACCTTTGTATTTGGATGCTGTAGCCTATCCTGACCTAGCCTAAACCAAGTCTTGCCACTCACTGGTGGGTGCTAGAACCTGGCCCTGCTCTGTCTGCTTCCTTACCAGTCTCATACAATCTGGTATGTGTGACAACCTAGCTGAACTTGACCTGTGTTCCAGCCTGGTTTCTGCCCTTGCCGGTGAGGTAAGGTTGGCTTGGCCCTGCCCTGTCGTGTCTCTCCAAAGCCAACCCACACATTAGCTAACAGTTGGAGTTACCCTGCTCAGGCTGCCCAATTCCCAGGCATGAAACACGTGCTCACCAGCAGGAGCTGTGACCCCCAATAGGTTCTCCAGTTTCCCAGGTTCTCCACTTGGTCCTCTCCATGACGCAGAGCTCACATGCTCCAGCAGATGCTAGGTCCTTGCCCAGCATAGCCTGCCACTCTGTCTTAGCCTTTGTATGAGCTGGAGGATATTGCGGCCCAGTCCACCTCACGCATAATACCCTGTGGTAGGATGCACGTGCGGGTGCTGCAGCCTGGACCTGCCCATGCTGTCACCATCCCCAGCACCCATGAATGTTGGTGAGTTCCATAGTATTTCCTAGCGCAGCTCATATCCACCCCAACTCTTAAGCTAACCAATGGGATTGTAGTTCCACAGGGTTGGGCCCATTTATGCCCCACAGAATCTATTCCCGGACCTGGTTCTCTCACGTGCTGATTGTTGTCATGACCATTCCTAATGTGACTCACCCTATTCCGACATTTAGTCATGTCCTGGGATCCAACCCTGCCAGACAGGCCCTCAGCCATGTGGACTGGCATGTGGCAGTCAGCAATGCTGTATGCTAACAACCCATCTCAGGACTCCCATGGGGCTGATGAATCAGTCTGATCCAAATGGATCATACTGACTCTCCCCTTTGAACAGCCAGGTCTCAGTTCCTCACACTTGCCAGCAAGATTGGTGGCCCCGTTGTTGGGAGTCACACAGGATTCGTCCCTCCCCTACACACACATTGGCTTTATCCGTTCCTGCCTTTAGGCAGCAATTACATACCCAAAAAAACACTAGAGCTTGCCATCAGGCGGCCAGCAGGCAGAGCCTGGCGCACAAAGGCTCACTGGCCTCCCAACAGCCAGGACTGGTTCACTGCATGGTGATGGTGTTCATGGGCTGGGTCCCAGGCATTGGATCTGACCTGGCTTGGGTTTTCTGCAAGCAAGTCACCACGCTTCGAGGGCTGCTGTCATCCAAGCTGCCAAAGTCGAACTCGGATGTGCATTATCTTTTTTTTTAAGATTTTTTTTTTAATTGGAAAGGCAGATATACAGAGAGGAGAGACAGAGAGGAAGATCTTCCGTCCGATGATTCACTCCCCAAGTGAGCACAACGGGCCGATGCTATGCCGATCTGAAGCCAGGAGTCTCTTCAGGGTGTCCCACGCGGGTGCAAGGTCCCAAATCTTTGGGCCGTCCTTGACTGCTTTCCTGGGCCACAGGCAGGGAGCTGGATGGGAAGCGGGGCCACTGGCTTTAGAACCAGCGCCCATATGGGATCCCGGGCGTGCAAGGCGAGGACGTTAACCACTGCGCCACCGTGCCGGGAGCCATGCATTATCTTTTGTTGACATTTTCCCCACACATCTTTCATAGGCTTCTTTTAAAATTTTTTCATTTTTATTTGAAAAGCAGGGCTTCTGAGAGAAAAGAGTTCTGTCATCTGTGAATTCACTCCCCAAATGGCTGCAACAGTTAGAGCTGGGCCTATCCACAGCCAGGAGCCAGAGGCTTTTTTTGGGTCTCTCATGGGGGTGCAGGTTCCCAAGGTCTTGCCTCCCCTTTCCTGACTCCAGGGTACCTGGCGGCCAAGTCCAGCCAGGAGACCAATCTACTGTGTAATGTCAGCCACAGCAGGCCTGGTCCTTAAAGGCCTCCTGGGTAGTTCCCCTGGGCTCCTTCTGTGGCTGCAGGACACTGCAGGAGACTGGCTGCCAGAGTGAACACACACAGCAACATCCATTGTGTGTGTGTGAGTGTGTGACTGCTATTGTGATCACTGCACAGGCTGGGAGGCTCTGAGAGGACGGCCAAGCCTTCCTCACAGAGAAACCAGAAATCCACAGACAAGCAGTAGTTACTGAGTGGGTGTCTGGCTGGCTGATCTGCCGGTTCCTGGCCCTGACACGAGGTGGGCCCATGGGTGAATGCACCTGGTCCCAGGGGCTGGCTTTGTGCATGAATCTCAGCTATTGCAGATGGCTCACAGGACATTCTGCATTCCCTGAGTGGAGGACATTACTGGAAGGAAAGACAGGAGAAAAGGGAAGAAGAAGGCATTGGGAGAAACTGGACAAAGGGGAGAAGGGAGGAAAGCTGGCTGGAGGCCCAGGGATGAAGTTCTGTCCTTGGGTTCCTTCCCCAAGACACCCCACTAGTGACAGCACATTTAAAATCATTTTCCACTGAAGCCATGTTTAAACATTTTGTCTATTATTTGGAACAAATGGAAACCTGATCAAAATATACTCTTAATTTCACCTCTGTGGTTTCTGTTCTAAGCAAAGCGTGTGCAGCAGTGTTGGGTACTGTGCAGAGTGCTAGGGAGACGTGGGCAGAGCCTCCCGCAACTCACTCTGAGACGGGCAGCACTCGTGCCAGGGCACTGATACCTCCCTCCTGATCAGGACCGCCAAAACGGGAGCGGAGTCTCTAAGAGGGAGGGGACTTGGCCCGTGTTCAGTGTCAGAAAAACACGAGATGAATGATGAGATGAGGCGGGAGTGGCAGCACTGGGCTCTGGCAGGCAAAGTGAGTGGGAACAGGTGTTCAACAGACCGAAGGCATGAGGCAGTTGAGATCAACATGGACACACGTGAGAACTGTGCACCTCATCAGAGTAAGGGCAGCTACAGGAGAGGATTCCGTCCATCCTCCCCACCCTGCTGGCTCTAACTGTCTGCTGTGTTCCCCAGATGCTCCACTTCTGATCAAGCTTTCTGCTAGTGGCCTGAGAAAACAGTGAGGATGGCCCCTGTGCCACTGCACCCACATGAGAGAACTGGAGGGTTCTTCTGGCTCCAGCTTCAGAGAAGCTCAGCTCTGGCCATGGTGGCCACATGGTGAGTGAACCCGTGGAGAAGGGGATTTTCTGTGTGTGTGTGTGTGTGTCTAACTCACAAAAGTGGGACCATTTGTACTGAGCCCATTCAGAAGGGTGTTAGGGAACCCACTTTTTTTTCTTCTTCCTTCCTTCCTTTTTCTTTCTTTCTTTTTTTAAGTCTTATTTTTATTGCAAGATATACAAAGCAGAGAAGAGACAGAAAAGATGATCTTCTGTCCGATGATTCACTCCCCAAGTGACCTCAATGCCTAGAGCTGCACCAGTCTGAAGGCAGGAGCCAGGAACTTCTTCCCGGTCTCCCATGCACGTGCAGAATCCCAAACTTTGGGTTGTCCTCGACTGCATTCCCTGGCCACAAGCAGGGAGCAGGGTGGGAAGCAGGGCTGCAAGGATTAGAACCAGTGCCATGTGGGAGTCCAATGCGTTCAATACGAGGATTTGAGATGCTAGGCCAGCACGCCATGACTCCTCCTTTCCTTTCTTAAGATTTATTTATTTTAATTGAAAAGGCAGATTTACAGAGAAAAAGAGGCAAGAGGAAGAAGGTCTTCCATCTGCTGGTTCACTACCCACGTGGCTGCAAAGACCAGAGCTGAGCTGATCTGAAGCCAGGAACCAGTAGCTTCTTCTGGTCTCTCTCGCAGGTGCAGGGTCCCAAAAACTTGGGCCATCCTCCACTGCTTTTCCCTCACAAGCAGAGAGCCAGATTGGAAGTGGAGCAACCGGGACATCAACTGGGGCCCATATGTGATGCTCCACCACAAGAGTGGAGGATTAGCCTATTCAGACACAGTGCCAGCCTGCATAAATAAATCTTTTTTAAAAAATGAGGACATTGGGACAATGTGTGGTATACCAGGAAAAGTTGCCACCTGCAACACTGGCATCTCAAGTCGGCACTGGTTAATGTCCTGGCTGCACTACTTCCAATCCAGCTTTCTGCTAATGGCCTAGAAAAAGGGGTGGAAGATGGCGCAAGTGTTTGGGTCCCTGCCACGGATATGGGGGACCTGGATGAAGCTTCTGGCTCTGGGTTGGCCCTGGGTTGGCCCAGAGCTGGCCACTGCAGCCATCCAGGGGGCAAACCAATGAATGGAGGGATCCTCTCTTTTCTCTTCCTCTCTTTGACTTTCAAACAGATCTTTTTTAAAAAAAGAACAGACTGTTCAATACGTGGTGCTCAGAAAACTGCCTATTCATGTAGAATTAAATCAAGTTAGACCTCTACCACCTATGGTTCTCTCTCCCTCATCTCCAAAGCTTGTGTTTTATTTACCCTCTACTCTTGATGAAAATTATTAATTATCTCTGAACATAAGCCACCTGAATCCCAGCTGAAAGCTAGAGCCACTGCTGGCATTCCATGAAAGCCAAGACTGCAATGAGGATACTGCTATTCAGTCACTATGTTGGTTTTGTTTTGTTTTGTTTTGGTTGTATCAGCCAGTGAAACAGAAAAGAGAACAAACTAAGAGGCATGAAAATCATGATTATGTATACATTGCTGACCATTATTTATGGTTAGTAGCATTTATAGATATTTTTAACCTGAAAATAGGAAAGCAAATGGGAAATGACTCAAAACAGTAAGGAAATCTAATACAGTGGGTGCGAACAAAACTAACACAATCTCCACAAGTTAATGTAGCTTTTATATAACAAACAACTAGTTACATGAAAGACCCACAGGAAGCTCATAGCTTCAGCAGGCCTGCCTGGCCCAGCCGCTGCAGCCCCTGTCACTCTGCGTGGCCAAAGCCAGAGGCCAGAAGCTTTGAGCTCTGTCTCACTCAGCCTTTCCAAGCAAGAAAGAAATAGTTTTTTCTGAAAATCTGCAGATGCAGCTCTGGCACAATGGCTCAACTGGCTAATGCTTCACCTCCAAGTGTAGCATCCCATATGGGTGCTTATTCATGTGCCAGCTGATCCAGTTGCTACCCAGCTTCCTGCTTATGGCCTGGGAATGCAGTAGGGGATGGCCCAAAGCCTAGCGACCCTGTACCCATGTGGGAGACCTGCAGGAGGCTCCTGGCTCTAGACTGGCTCAGTTCTGGCCACAGTGGTCATTTGCGGAGTAAGCAGTGGATGGAAGAGCTTTGTCTCTTCTCTCTGTAAATCTGATTTTCCAATAAATTAAATAAATCTTAAAAAAAAAAAACACTGCAGATATGCAACTACTAGATCGAATTCGCTGGGCAGCAAGTGAGAGATGGCATGGCGTATAAGATCTTCACAGCTGAATGCTTCTGTGTGCCATCCATTAGATGATGAAACAATTTGATCTTTCCAGAGCTCAGCATTCTAGGCTCTGTAAGAGGGAAATGCTCCTTAATTCAGGGGCTCTTAAAAGATAACGAAATGTGGGAGAATGCCCGTGATACAGATCTATGGCTGGGGTAGCATCCACTTGGTTGGAATCCTTTTCCAGAGTTGAAAATGACATTGGGAAATGCGCTGCATTATCCACGTGCAACAACTTAAAAATGCAAGTAATTTCCATTCCACCAAATCTCAGAATACACTGAAACAGGGAAGTAATACATGGGCTCAGCTCAGGCCGTTGCTGTTTGGGGAGTGCACCAGTGGATTTTGTCTCTCCTCACGGAAACTCTGCCTTTCAAATAAAAATAAAACTTTTTATTAATGATGCATTTATTTTCATTTTAATGCCAGATCTACACAGAGAAGGAGAAACAGAAGCAAAGATCTTGCATCTGCTGGTCCATTCCCCAAGCAGCCACAACTGAACCGATCTGAAGCCAGGAGCCAGGAACTTCTTCCAGGTCTCCCACACAGGTGCAGGGTCCCAAGGCTTTGGCAGTCCTCTACTACTTTCCCAGGCCACAGGCAGGGTGCTGGATGGGAAGTAGAGAGTCCAGGACTAGAATCAACACCCATGTGGGAACCTTTGCAAGTGTAAGACCAGGGCTTTCGCCACTGTGTGCCAGACCCATAAATAAAACTTTAAGGATAAAAAAAAAAAATCCTTGAGGCCCTAAAGTAGTCCTTACCTAAAATGCCTAGCCTTTAATGCTAACAGATGCCCACTCAATAGCTCCATTTGGGGGGCAGGGTAAGAGCTGTTTATCTGTAGCAGCTGGAATCTTGCAGAGAGATTTCATACAAAATGTACTTTTTACCCCCAAAAGCCCACTGCCTTTTATACACACATCTTACAGAAGTCGGATACCAGGACAGACCGACCAGCACAGGACCAAGAAGGGGAGTCCTTTAGAAGGGGACAGGGACATCCAAGTGGCAGGAGAGGACAAGCTGTGAGACAGGGTTAGGGCACAGGTGGAGGCAGAGCCCCAGGGAGTGCTGACAAGGCGCCCATGGCTATAAGGGGTGCTTCTCCTGGGGGAAGCCTGCGAGCCACTGTAGGGGGGCCCCGGGATGCCGCCCCCACCCCCACCTGGGTCCCCCAAATGCCTGCTAGAAATCACAGGAGCCCGCCTCTGCAGAAGCCACTACCACTACCACTCTAAAACCTGCAACAGGGAGGCAGGGACAATGCCAGAGGGACAATGCCACACCACACCCGCCGTCCACGCGGGAAGACTTACTGTATCAATTTTAAAAAGTCGTTCTTTCCGGGGGCAGTGCGGCGGTCTAGCAGGTAAAGTCCTTGCCTTGCCTGTACCAGGATCACATACGGGTGCCAGTTTACATCCCAGCAGCCCCACTTCCAAGCCAGCTCCCTGCTTGCAGCCTGGGAAGGCAGTTGAGGACCACCCAAAGCCTTGGGACCCTGTGTCTGCCAGGGAGACCCAGACGAGGCTCTGGGTTCCTGGCTTTGGATCTGCTCAGCTCTGGCTGTTGCAGCTGCTTGGAGAGTGAGTCAGTGATGGAAGATCTTTCTGTGTGTCTCTGTTCCTCTCTGTATATCTGACTCTCCATTAAAAAAAAAAAAAAAAGGTTGTTCTTTTCAGACACTTGTTTTATGCACCCTTGGTAGTTTCTGAGAAATCTGTGGAAGTTAGACTTTGGTAAAGAAAAATCTCATGGCAGGCTGCTTCGGCTACAACTGTGTCCTTGCTGTGGGTGGGGTTTGTGTCCACTCTAGGTGGAAGCTCACTTTGTACTAGTCAGTAGAATAAGGCTGGCAGCAATACCCATTTGTCTGTGTTTTGTTGTTGTTGTTGTTGTTTGTTTTTCATAAGGAAATGAAAATGTGAGGCCAGCATGGCAGTTCTGCATGCTAAATAGCTGCCTTCAAGTGCCTGGATCCCTTTATCACTGTGTAGTGGTCTTCTATGGCCTTTGTTACAGTGTTGGTCTGATAAATGTGCATCTTCTTCTGTCTGCTTTTGGTTCCCATCTGCATGGACTCTTTGTACAGAACTGTGTTCTTGTAGTTTTTTTTTTTTTAAGATTTATTTATTTTTATTGGAAAGTCAGATATACAGAGATGAGAGACAGAGAGGAAGATCTTCCGTCCTATGATTCACTCCCCAAGTGACTGCAACACCCGGTGCGGTGCCGACCTGAAGCCAGGAGCCAGGAACCTCCTCCAGGTCTCCCACACGGGTGCAGGTTCCAAGGCTTTGGGCCGTCCTCGACCACTCTCCCAGGCCACAGGCAGGGAGCTGGATGGGAAATGGAGCTGCCGGGATTAAAACCAGCATCCATATGGGATCCCGGTGCGTTCAGGGCTAGAACTTTAGCCACTAGGCCACCGCACCATGCCCCGAACTGTGTTTCTTATAAGAAACCCGCATTGTTGGGTCTGTTTCGGCTTTTTTTTAATTCAAAAGTAAGACAATCGTTTCTTTCACTTGGTGAACCTAGAGCATGAAATTGAGGATATTATTGGTAGGCAATAACTGATCACATCGTCAAAAACATTGTTTCTACTCAATGCATTTTATTGTTCTGCCAGCGCAGGTGGGAATTGTACATGTTTTTCTCTTTTTGTTTCCTTCTGTCAGACCTCCTGAAGTATTTTTATAAAGTCAGGCTGGTGATAAAGCATTTCTTCAGCTTTTGGAAACATAT